AGCTTTTGGGCAGCCCTAGCCCTGGTTGTTGTGGACTTTTTGGGAAGTGAACCAGAGGATGGTAGTTCTCTTCCTTTGTCTCTTCCCCTCAAATTGTCATTCTGCCTTTCAAGTAAATTAATTAATTTTTAAAAAAGCAAACAAGGAAACTCCTTTAGAAACGGCCTACAATTGTCCAGGAAGTGAGACCAACAATATAACATTGTACTTCTAGAAACAGAAACCAAGAGAATTTCCAAACACAACCCAGAAACGAGAATGGGTTACCAGAGATCTTACCCAAGGCCATATAAATTAACATGAACAGCAGACAGAGAAAACAAATTCAGGATTCCCTCCTCTAGGTCTGTTACTTGAGACAGCATTTCCTCTCTCTCAAGCCTTTCTGAAAGATATTTTTCAAGATAACATGGATAAATTCTCAAAAATCTGCTCTTATGCTGAGCATGCAAAATGGGTAACTGGGCATGTAATTGTAAATTATTCAACTGGACCTGAAAAAGATGCCTATGTACTTTCCTCATCTATTAACTCCTAGGACACACAACATTTCAGAATTCTAAGGGCAGAAAACTTCATTATTATAATCATATCTGGGTGTCCCATGAAAACATGCAGGTTGCCTTGATGTCCAAAAATTCAGTAATTTCACCACATTACTATTCATTGGCTAGTCTTTAGTGTAATTTAAGACACCTTCCTATATCAAACCCTTGTTCATACTATTACTACATTCCCTCAGTTTCTCACATACTCACAGCGTATGCTGCTATTGTGATGTGATGACAAAATACCCCTGATAACTTAACGGAACTAAGAATTTCACAATCGAAATAGAAACAAAGACATTCTTTGCCCATTTCTTTCAGTTCTCTCCACAAACGTATTTCCTATCACTCAATTTTTCTCAGAGTCACCACAGCCAAGGAATTTCAAATATGAAAAGAAAAAATTCATTTTAAGTAAAAGATAAATCCTTTGGATTCTTTTAACTTCCCCTTCCAATTTTCTCTAATAATGCACAAGACAAAATCTTGAACACAGTTCTGTTTTGCCACTAACAGGGTTCCATGAAGAAATTATCAAGCATTCTGAAAGGGAAGTTTTAGGAGAAATACATATGAACTTGGTGCCATGGTCCAGTGGCTAAATCCTTGCTTTGTATGCCTGGGATCCCACATGGGCACCAGTATGTGTCCCGGCTGTTCCACTTCCATTCAGCTTTCAGATTATGGCCTAGGAAAGCAGTAGAGAATGGTCTAAAGCCTTGGGACCCTGTATTCATATGAGAGGCCTGGAAGAAGCTATTGGCTCCTAGTTCCAGACTGGCTCAGCTCCAGATTCTGTGGCCACTTGGGGAGTGAATCAGTGGATGGAGATCTTTCTCTCTGTCCCTCCTTCTCTCTGTAATTCTGACTATGCAAAAAAAAGAAAAAAGGTACATCTTTTTAAAAAATTATGCTTATTTACTTCTAGGAGATAAAGTAACTGGTGAATTCAATGAATTCTTTGAAATGTACAGCTTTGGGAAGTTCTTCTTTTCTTTCAATTTGTATTTATTTGAAAGAGAGAGAGATACAAAGAGATACAAATTGAGCATAATAATTTGCAATCTGTTTTTCCAAGTAAGAAATACTAAACAATGTTTTCATATATATAGATATATACACACACACATGCATGTATGTGCATGAAACATATCACATTATATAAACACACAGGAATTTAGAGCTAACAAATCTTATAGCTTTTTAATTTACACCAACACTCAACATACAAAACACAATACGATGTTGAACATAATTATTTCTGATTTTATATATGCTAATAACTTCTAAAATAGCAGATTACATAGCTTATTAAAAACAGAAATTTATTTCTCACACTTGTGGCAGCTGGAAAGTCTAATATCAAGGATCAAGAAGATTGAGCATCATTTGAAGATGCATATCCTGGCTCACAAAAAGGCTTTTTTTTTTTTTTACTATATTCTCAAAAGATGGAAGGAAGAAGACAGCTATCTGGAGCTTTTATCTTTCTTTTTGTTATCACTAATTTCATTTATTAGAGTTCCATATTCAAAATGTATCACCTTGCAAGGCTCTGTCTCCTAACATCATTATACTTATAATTAAGTGCAATGCATGATTTTAGGGGCCATTGCTTTGGTAAAGCTGGTAAAGCTGCCATCTGTAGTACCAGCATCCTTTATGGGTACCAGTTTGAGTCCCAGCTGCTCTACTTCTGATTCAGCTCCTTGCTAACATGCTTTGGAAAGGAACAGAGGATGCTTATTGCACTTTCATGAACCCACATAGGAAACCTGAATGGAGCTCCTGGCTCCTGGCCTTGGGCAAGCCCAGCTTTGACTGCTGTAGCCACTTGGGGGGTAAAGTAAGAGGTAGAAAATTCTGTGTCTCTCCCCTTTTCTCTCTTTTTCCTTCTCTCTGTAACTCTGTCTTTCAAATAAACATAGTTAAACTTAAAAATATGTAACTTGGACATATATAAGCAAGTCTAGAAGGAGCTGAAATTTCTTCAGAGAGAGCAGTAAATTTACATTTACATTTTCCAACTGTTGATAATTGCTAATTTTTTTAACTTCTTAGACTTCTCCAAGCATTTGCCAATTTCTAAAACTGAACAAGACAGAAGGCAGAATATATGAGACTTCTCTGAAAAGCAGACAACATATCAATAGTCTGGTGCTGAAAAGATAACAATATGCTATTAATAAAACCCCTGTAGAACCATATCCTAGCAACAGGAACAAAACAGACATATACACTACAACTTTAATCCAAACTTGACCCAAATCAGTCGATGATGAGATTATGGCAATCAGCATCTATCCACAAACTACCTGTGGATCCTACAAAGTTCAGAAAGGAAAGAATAAAAATCGTTGTTGATAGAAGTCAGTATTACCTTGAATCTTTATACATTGTACTCACAATGTATGACATCAATCAAAAAATTCTAAGACATAGGATCATTTGAACAAAAACTGGGGAAAATCAGATACACATTCGTCATTATGAAGGTAAACTATAGTATAGTTAAAGTGTTAGTAAGCAGTGACTAATGATTATGACTAATCCATGCTAAAAATAAAGATAAAATAGGGAGTCCCGGATTGAACCCTACATTCCCATTTATTGTGCAGCAGTGTGCAGGGACACAACATGGAAAGAATTTTGGAGGCTGGGCAGTTCAAAGCCAAGCAGCTGCCATATCCAGCCTCTGGTGAGGGCTCACTTCCTTGTTCACAGACAGCCATATTGTATCGTCACAAAGGAAGTTTAGGTTCAGGACAAGGTGGCCAATCAGCATAGGAAGAGAGTGCAGAGAGCTGAGAGATATAATCAGGTGGAATACAAAACTACAGAAGGAAAAAATCACCATATGGTGTAAGCAAAGCTCCCCGGAAACCACGGAGGCCATGAGAGGGAAGCAGGAGCTATGCAGACAAAGAACATCTGCTGAAAATGACCAAGACCGCAAACAGTAGCCTAAGAGGAAGGTGAGTGCAGGAGAGTTACAGAAAGATATGCCAACTCACAGACAAAAGCCTAGTAAATCTGGATCTACCACAAATAGAACAGGAACAGGCAGACTCCCAGCTGGAGCCTCCTTAGAGAGCATATAAGGCAAAAAGCCATAGGACAAAACACTAGTGAAGGGAGGCAAAGCTGAGTGAACATCCACAGCCTCCCACTCAAAAGCCACCCAGATTGGGGTAGCCACATCATTGGGAAGTGAGCCATTGGGGAGTGAACCTCTGGAGAGTGAACCAGCCAAGGGAGGGACTCAGGGAAAAAAAAGCAAAATTCATGTCACACCCAGAGGGTTCACATCCTAAACCCCTGGATAGATACCAGAACCAATCCAAAGGAAGACACTGGATCCCTGGGGGTCAGAAACTGGATTGGGATCAGCTGCTTGAATCCCAGAGTAAACCACAACAAAAGTCCAGGCACATTCACATCAGCTAGAACTAAAACTTAGAAGCTGAGTCGCCAACACAGGGAATGACTAGAACAAAATAAGACAGTAGGGTGAACAGCACATCTGCAGCAGGAAGGACCTGGTGGCACACACGAGCAGCCCTAGTAATCCGGGAAACTTGAGCAGACCAGACAGCAAGCTAAGATTGGGAGCTGCCTCAGCAGAGGCATCTGCAGTAAAACTGCAAGCTTGCTGACCTTCACAGCTCCACAGACTGGGCAGGACAAGATAGAGAAGAACAACACCCAAACGGCTAAGGGAAATGGCCAGGACAACACTATCTGCAGAGACTGAAGCCGAAGCCTCCCTAACCACAATTTGGAAGCAAAAAACACAACTAAAAGACAAAATCGGCTTGAATAAAAGTAGGTTCTCAACCTAGACAACAGAATGTTAAACTTTCTACCACTGCCTATACCAACAGTGTCATGACCCATGTAAGGAGCAGAAAGTTGAAATCAAGACTACACTTGATAGGCTATTTTATTACAAAACACAGGAGACAATTTGGGGGAGAGAAGGTACTGGGTGAAGAGAGGGAGAAGGAGGAAGCCCTATGCCTGCAAAACTGTAAAATGGAAATTAAGAATTCAAAAACAGATAAGACTCAAATTCAGTAAAATGTTGTCATCACAATTAATTTATGAAAAATATTAAACTAATAAAACAAAACATGCAAACTTGAATTTCTAACTTCTAAGTTTCCTTTCCACCAAAATTTCTTACTACATCTTGATACTATTTGCCTTGAAGTTAGGAGGAAAATAAGTGAGGAGATAGTAGCAATCATTATCAGAATAAACAATATCCGTATCAATGAAAACAACAAGAAGAAGACTAAGTATCACTAAGGGCTGAAAATTGCGGTATAAATTTGATACTTTGACAAGTTTTCTACTTAGTTACAGCATAAACTCACCTCTTCCAGTAAACTAGATTTTAAAAGTTTTTTTTTTCACAAGAAAGGAAATGTAAGAACAAGTGTCACTTACAGGAAGGTGTGTAAATACAGCAAAGGTGCTACGCAGAAAGGCAATGAGGTCTACCAGGTAATCACTAGCTTTGTTGCCTAAATCTCCCGTCATCCAGTCGTAGTCTGCCAATTGTAAGAACTGGTCAATTTTCTGGTTTAAGTTGGTATAAATCTCTTCTTCAGCTGCATGTCTAGCATCCTGTTAAATAATACAGAACAGGAAAATCAGTCACATTTGCTGGTAAAGGGTGACAATGTATATGACTTCAAGCCATATCACATATATCTCTATTAAGTAACATAATTGGGAATATTAAGGCACAAGTTTCTTCATGCTGCTTATAAAAACTCCAAAATTTCCACTAAATGTTATGTGTTCTTCCTAGTTACAATCATACACCTCTAACTCCTTCATAGTCAAATTTCATTTTTAAAGATTTATCTGATTTTATTTTTGAAGAGCAAAGTGAGAGACAGAGAGATTTCATCAGCTTGTTCACTTTCCAAATGGCAACCTGAAATTCTATTCTATTCTACATAGATGGGCAGGGACTCTCGTACTTGAGCCATTTTCAACTGCTTTCCAAAGCACATCAGTAAGGACCCGGGTCTGAAGAACAGCAATTAGGACTCCAACCAGCTCAGTGAGTAGGCCATGGCTTAAGCTGCTGATCCACAATACCACTATATTATCAAATTTACCTCACGGAGATGCTCCCATAAACACATTCTAAATAGCAACCATTCTAGATAATGCTAAAGCAATAGCAAAGAGTTCCTACACAGTGTATGTTTGAGCCAATCTGTAGAATGCATTCACGGTATATACTAACATATTAAAGACTTTAAGAAATGTCAGGGGACTAACATTCTTAGAAACATATTCTTAGCACAAACTAGTAATGTATTACTCCAATACAATCAGAACTTCAAATCTAATTGTTAGACAAATTCAGGATAACCCATGAACTAGTTCCACCACTATCTGATAACATATTCAAATTTTAAAGTTTTCTCTTCAACATCTTAATTTTAAATTTTTGTGTACTAATTAGCAACAGAAAAGGTGGGAGGCAGAGGAAACAAAGGAAAACAAGGGGTAGAGACAGAACAAGCTTCTGTCAGCCAGTTGACTCCTCCAATGCTTGCAACAGTCAGGACTAGGCCAGGTCAGTCAGGAGCCTGGAATTCAATTCAGATCTGTCCCATGAGGGATGCAGGAACCAAACTAACTACATCATCACTACTTCCTCCAAGGGCCTTAGAAAGCTGTGACAGGTATTGAACTCAGATACTTCCATATGGAACACAGGATTCCTAGTTACCACAATAAACAGCACTCCTACATTCATTTTGTTTGCTTAACATCTATCAATTCACAAGCACATAAACTCTATTCACTCCTGTAACATTGCTTGGTATATAGTAGATGCTTTATAACTACTGGTTGGATTCACAAAGGATTGAATAGACTCAGTGCATTAGTACTTTATGTAAAGTTCTAATTGATTTAATAGTATCTGTATTCCCTATTGATCCTGTGGTTCCAGGACCTCTAAATCCAGGTACAAAGAATATTTTTTCAATGTCCCCCCAAATCTGTAAGATTGTCACATAGTAATACTTGGAATAAATTAACAAAAAACTTTATTGTCTTTTGAAGGGGAGTGAGGAAAATCTTTTTTTTTTTAATTATTTACAGTTCATTGACAAGGCAGATTCATAGACAGAAGAGCCAGAAAAATCTTTCATCTGCCGATTCAATCCCCAAATGGTTGCAATGGCCAGAGCTGAAGCCAGGAGCAAGGAGCTAGCTCCAGGTTTCCCAGAAGGGTGCAGGGTCCCAAGGCCTTAGGCCATTCATCACTGCTTTCCCAGGCCACAAGCAGGGAGCTGGATGGGAAATGGAGCAGTTGGGACATGCACTGGTACCCATATAGGCTCCTGTTGCTTGCTAGGTGAGCATTTAGCCACTGAGCCATCACTCCAGGCCCATGAGGAAAATCTTACACAAGGAAAGCTAAGAAACCCAGCTTGCTTATATCACATATGGTAGAAACAACAGAGAACTCTGAAAGGAATGCCTTCTGATTCATACTGCCACAATTGTAACATAACAGTTTCCATCTGTAAGACAAAATTTTCTGGAAACAGTAGCTTAGGAAAATATACAACATATAGCTGTTGTAATTGCCATGTTTATACTGAGACCAGAGTTAACTACTCTGAAACAGAACTGGTAAAAATAAACTTTCAGTGTGTTTTAGGTAATCAGTGTTGCCAATAAGGACTGTCAATATGACCTTGGTGATCTGCAGAATATAGCCTCACTAAGCACAAAATTTGCTGCTTAGTCCCTATGGCTTCACACTCCCTTGACATTTGTCATGTGCATCAATGACAAAATACACATTCATCCTCTGGGAGAATTTCCAAACGAAATTGGAAAAGCTGTCAAAATAAAATAATTGAGACAGATTGAAAGAATGAGTATCACTATATTCTACATTTTCCTCATATGATAAATAAGTTATTAATAAAATTCATGTTTTAATTACCTAATCTTATTCTTTACCTAAAACTAAACTAAAGTCTTTCTTGATTTTCTTTTTCTTGGAGAGAGGCTTTCATGGAATAGCAAATAGAAATACATCTGATTGTGTTCTCACCTATTCTTCCTAATAATACAATATTGAACAGTAATTCTATTTTCCACAACTACCTGAGGTCATTGTGGATTCCTTGAAGCAGTTGTCACATTTGCATGCTTTCTGCACCTCTGTAATAAATAATTATTCTGTACTTGCACTGCAGCATAATACCATACCATACCAACATCATAGACAGAGGCTCGACCTCTGTCTATGATGCTGGTATGGCATACTGCCGCTTGTTCAAGTCTTGGCTGCTCTGCTTCTGATCCAGTTCCCTGCTAATATGTTTAGGAAAGCAACATAACATGGTCAGGTGTATGGGCTCCTGTGCCCATGTAAGAGAGCCAGAAGAAGCTCCTTCCAGCTTTTTGGCCCAGCTCCAGCCAATACAATCATCTAGGAAATGAATTAGCATGTAGAAGACATCCCTCTGTCTCTCCTTTTTGCCCTGTACCGCTTTCAATTAAAATTTTTAACAAGTCTTTAAAACAAAATAATTTTCCTTCATTAAAAAAGCATCAATCTTAATAAACTATTAGCCTATAATATTCATAGGTTTTGTATCTGTGGATTCACTCAATTGCTAATTTTCTTTTCATTATTACCTAAATAACATGATTCAACAACTATTCACATACTTCGAACTTTGTATTGGATGGACTGTATAATATGGAGATGGTCTGAAGTACATGGGAAATACATACAAGTTATAAACAAATGTTGTATGATTTCGCATGAGCAACTTGAGCATCTTCAGGTTTTAGTAACCACATGAGGTCCTGGGACCACAGATGCCATCAGATACCAAGACATGAGTATATTTAGACTTTATTTAAAAATTTTTTGAAATAATGATAAACATAATATGATTTATAGCAAATTTTAAGTAATTTTATTGATAACTTGAAACAAATACTCCAGGATCAACCAATGAAAACATGACTCTGTCCAGCAATGATCCTAATCACATGGGTAAAAAATCAATTTTTTCTGACAGCTTTGTATTTTTTCCTTACAACAAATGTCATATTTACTATCTTTACACCTTATGCATTAGGATAATCACATTTGTTTTTTTTAGCCCAGTCTCAATAAGATGCATTAATAAACACAAAAACAGGATAAAAGAGAAGAACAAGTAGACACTGCAGGGTTTAAATCACAGATTTAATACTGTAACCATATATAGTATTAACATAAATTTCTAGATTTCAAAATACAGATTGTTTTTCAAAACCAAAACAAATCACAACAACAAAATTCAGTGTACAAAAGTTAGATATGTCAATTAATCTTTTTAATGATTGAGATGATGTCCTCCTCTTTTTTCCTGCCATGTTCTTATTGTAAGCTAACATAACAATATATAGGAATGTATTAAAACATCTAAGTAGGGCATTTAGCCTCCAAAAACTATCTACCACTAATCCTTCTTTTGCTCAACTATCTTGTAATTTCCCCAATTAATTCAATATGAGATCAAAACTAGTGTTGACCTTAAAAAATGGCTATACAATCACTAACTACAGTAGCAAGATACAGAAATTCCTCACTAATAAGGAAGTTTAAAAATTGGTTAGAGAACACAAGAGACTATAGCTAAGTAAAAAATTTTAATTCTTATTCCTGTAATAACTATGACTACCTAAAATATAATGGAAAGCGCTGCCTGCCTGTGGTGAAAAATCAACCTAAAAATAATTATTCATGATATACACATACACATATATGTGTACATATGTAACATATAAAGAAACACACAGAATTTTTATCTTTTCAGTCTAATATCCTCAGAACTACTACTGGCATTTGTTTTCTAAAAGAAATACAGAAGCAAAAACCCTTCAAATTTTTGATTCTCAAAAGGATGCTATGAATTATCCAGAAGAAACAAAGCCAAATTAGGTAGAATGACCCAAACCTCACACCAGAAGCAGTGCCTCCGTGCTATGCAGTATCTCACCTTGAACGTTGTGGTGCCATAGAGTTTGGTGGTGTGGACTGTCTCTGGAAGGACATTAGTGATATTGGTGATGAATTCTTCCAAATACTTACAGGATTTCTCCAAGTGTGTTGTGTTGATAATAATCTGGACAAGCTAGAAAACAAGCAGATATTAACATCATTTGACAAGTCACACCATGATGAAAGGCTCAGTATGAATCAGCTCTATGAAGGAAATGAACGCCTGATGGAAAACACCACCTACACATTCCACAAGCTAGGTTAAGACAGGAACTTTCACTCGACTCCCTTCAAGAAGTCTTCCATGACCTCTTCAGACATTTTTTATAGTCCCCTATTGTAGAAACAGTTGCCAATTTATTTTAGATACGTTTTTCTTCTGTTAAACAAAGCCTAAGAACAAATATTATTACTATTTAGCATAATACTTGTCAATAAGCCATTCTCACTAAAAGAACAAAAATAACTGAAACAACCACAAACAGTTTCAAAGTTAGCCATCATCAGCAGAGAGATGTTAGAATAGACAGAAGTATATTAACAAAGGACATAAGCATATGGGAGAAAAAAACAGCTGTAAAAGTCAGAAAAAGCAGAGGATTGATGACTTACAAATCACTGCTTTAAAAAAGTTTCTTCACTCATGTAGGTGTGTTTCCTTATATGAAAAAAATGTCAATATGGGGCCAGCATGGAAGCATAAAACTTCCATGGCTCCAGCATCACAAGTGGGCACTGGTTCATGTTCCAGATGCTCTACTTCTGATCCAATTCACTGCATATGGTTTGGAAAAGCAATGGAGGATGGCCCAAGTCCTGGGATTCCTGCATCCAATGTAGGGGACCCAAAAGCAGGTTCTGGTTGAAGGCTTTCAAGTGGCTCACCTCTATATATTGAACTGTGGAACCATTTGTGGAATGAACCAGTAGATGGAAAACCTGTCACTTTCTAATGACATATGAGAAAAATTAAAAAAAAATTTTTTGAAACAAACATTTCTCACAGAGTGATTGCAAGGATTAAACATTTTGTTAATACTATTTATATTTTCTCAAAGAAGATAATCAATCATACTGCTAAGATTAAATATCCATTGGGTCCAGTGTTAAATATTCATTGGGTCCAGTTGGCTTGAAAAATCTGGAATCCCATATGGCTGCTAGTTAGGGTCCCAGCTGCTCCACTTCTCATCCAGCTCCCTGCTTGTGGCCTGGGAAAGCAGTAGAGGATGGGCCGAAGCCTTGGCACCCTGCACCCACGTGGGAGACCCAAAGAAGCTGCTGCCTCCTGGCTTTTGTTTGGCTTAGCTTTGACTGTTGTGGCCACTTGGGGAGCAAACCAGCAGATGAAAGATTTTTCTCTGTCTCTCCTCTCTCTATATATCTGCCTTTTAAATAATTAAATAAATAAATAAATAAATAAATCTTTAAAAATGATTTAAAAGTCCATTGCTTTAAATTAACTGATATTTCAAATTTGTCTAAAGGTTATACTTACACCTTAGTAAGAATCATTATATCATGCCACATAATAATAAAAATATGAGTAAGACTATAAGCAGAAGGTACATTCTTACTTCCTCTATAACAGACAAAACAGGGCTATAAAACACAATTCAGTCTCAAAAAACGTATCAACTCATAATGACAAGCTTTGATGACAGGTTTCACTAATAAAAAACCTTTTTCTCCAGTAAATACCAGTCTGAAGATGTTAGGGAAAAGTCACATTTGAAACAAAAAGTCAAAGAACAAAAACCTAGAAACACAGTTCCAACAAATCTTCTTCAATGAAAAGCTGAGACACACTAGAAGTAGAATTCAGTCATAGTACTGCCCATGACGCATCAGCCAAGGTCAGAGAGCTCAGCAGCCCTTTGTCTAATCACTCCAGTTTGAATCTGAAGACTTAGTTCTGGGCACAAGACTTTCTCCCTTAAAAAACAACATAGCACAGTCTTTTCTTTTCAAACGATTCTAGGAACAAACACCCAAAATAAGTAATTCCTTAAACCACCTTCTGCTATTTTTTTTAAATCATGTTTCTTCTATAGAGGAAAACTAAAATCATATTAAATCACTCTTTTTCCTGAGTACAAAGGTGGCTACTGGCAAGACTGTCTGAATGTGGAAATTAGAGAAGTATGAGAGTTAATTTGGAAAACTGAAGAATTTCTATTTTAAAATGAACACTACTGATAGGAAACACATTCTGTCTATCAAAAGAAATCCTAATAATAAGGAGGAATCATGTCATGTTATTGAAATAAAAAACAGTGGCAGTCAAAGAGAAAATTGTCCTGTTTTGCAGGATATTGGTAGTTAAAAGTGGGGGGGAGAAGAGGCTTCATTGGGTACAGTAGTAATTTCCCATGACTTTTTAAAGATCTGTCAACACAAAAGATCACCATGAATTGCATCAATTGGCTGTCAGTCACTGTTGAAATGTTTCATTGCTGTGCATAGAACAGACGATTAAAACACTCTAGGATTACAGTAGATACCATGTCATTTTCAGAGGGAATATTGTCTGATAATGAGTTCTCTAAATGATCTCTACTCTTGAATGACAGCCACTAAAATCCTTACAAGGGCATTTGCGAATGCAAAGCCAGATGCGGTGGGGGTAATTTTGAAGTTAGGGATAAATGAAGCAATTTCAGTTATCGACTTCCATCAGAGTTTGAGCTCTTCTGACAATATTTTTAACCCATACTTCTCAGTCTCTTATAAATTGTAGCACTGTAGCAATCGAAGCCAGCTTGAACAACATTTCAATCACATGGAGCAAGAACAACAACCACAATGATGGAATACATACTGGCCATCTCCAATGTAAGAAAACTTAGTGAGAAGCTTCCAAGATAAGAAAATCTCTTAAAGCCAATTGCCACCTCGCACTACTAAATGATGTCAGTTCATTTTAAAGTCATTAATATTATATTTTTCTGTCTTCCACCCACAACATCAGGTAGAACGTAATGAGGAACGCAGAGATGACATTGTGGGACTCATTGCATCCCTTCACCAGTGGAACCTGAATCATGAGGACAGAGTCTATTCTTGAAAAACTTCAGAAAAGGAAATGCCCTCCTCCTCTGGAATAGTTCAAACGTATGTTCTAAATTCCAAGCAGAAGTTTTCCTTCCAAACTTGGAATTACTTTGAGAGTATAACTATCAACTTATATTAGGATTGCTATTAGAAAATCTACTTTATTAAAACTGCTTCAGGCTTCTTTCCAAAAGCAGGAAGTTTCCAAAAGCAAGAGGACTAACCCAAAGCAAGAAACTGAGAAGTTGTGCTCCTCTTCACACCACCAATACCTCCCAATTTAGATGAGCAAGAAAACAATGCTAAGCAGCAGCATTCATTCTTATGAGAAAATGAGCTAAATCTAAGACTTCAACAGGCTTTCACTGCATTTCATCAAAGCCAGTTAAAAGAAGACGTCAACAACTCACTTTATACCAATTCACATGTAAAAATGCTAAAACACATAAAACTATGGTTGCCAAATTCCTACATCTAATACAAAGTGTATATTTATCAGGACATAGATATAAAATCTTTTAACATAATGTGAGCAACATTATGCCTGGTAACAACAGGGGTTATTTGGGAGATAAGAGGCTAGAGAGAGCCACGTGATCATCAATATAAATCACACTAAAAATAAAGGATGAAAACAAAGTATTGGTCATTTCCACAGGTCTTCTGAAACTATAGTTATAAAAGCATATACTACCAATATGATATCACTAAGAAGAATTATCAGCTGTTGTGACTCTACTTTAAGATCTGAAGCACCTTCTTTGTTTCTTCTCTCTTCTTTTAATAAGTTAAAAAAAAAAAAAAACCTGTTTCAAGGGAACAGGATACTGCTACATGTAACTACACCAAAACCAAAGTTGTTAATGTCATAAGGATCATGGCAATCACTTAGGTATATGACACGTGGTATTTAGAAGCACCATGGGTTAAGATACCACTTGGGACACAAACATCTCATATCAGAGTGCCTGGGTTCAAGTCCTAGCTCTGCTTCTGCTTCTAGGCCCTTGATAATGTGCACCTGGAAGACAGAAGGTGTTGGTTTAAGTACTTATGCCAATGCCACCCAAGAAGGAAGAGCCATATTAAATTCAGGCTCCTTGCTTCAGACTAGTCCAGCCACATCTGTTGTGGGTTTTTGGAAAATAACACAGTAAATGGTAAATCTCTGTTTTTCACTTTTTTCTTTCTCCTTCAAATAAATAAAAAAAAAAAAACAAGCAAGAATTAGGAAACATAACAAGCACTGGGAAATAAACATCAAGGATAACTAATTACATGGTTAGGGCTGGAACTATGACTGACTGGAAGAAGACACCACCTGCATATGTGACATTCAGCTCATTGCTAATTATCTGGGAAAAGCAACAGAAGATGGCCCATGCTCTTAGGCCCCTGCTATCCATGTGGGAAACCTGGAAGAGGCTTCTGTCTTTGACTTCAGCCAGTGCTGCCCATTATGACCATCTGGGGAAGCAGAGGATGGAACATCCTTCTCTCTGTGTGTAACTATAACTTTCAAACAAATAAATACTTTTTAAAAAAGAAATTACATGGTAATGATTAGTCTTAGCTATTTTGAAATAGGGTGGCAACAAAAGTTTCTTTCAGAAAACACTTTTTAGGGGGCCTGGCATGGTAACCTAGTGGGTGAGGTCCTCAACGTTGCATGTGGCGAGACCCCATTATAGGTGCTGGTTCATACCCCAGCTGCCCCATGTCCCATTCAGCTCCCTGCTTGCGGCCTGGGAAAGCAGTCAAGTACAGCCCAAAGTCATGGGGCCCTGTGCCCACATGGGAGACTTGGAGGACGCTCCTGGCTCCTAGCTTCGGATCAGCTCAGCTCCAGTCACTGCAGCCACTTGGGAGTGAGTCGAGGAAAGGAGGATCTTCTCTGTCTCTCCTCCTTTCTGTATATCTGCCTTTCCAATAAAAATAAATAAAATCTTTTTTTAAAAAAGCACTACTTAAGTAATGACTTAAGGATGCCTATAACTGTCCTAATTTATTATTTGTACATTAATTTTTATAAATCTGCTTTCCAAACATTTCTATTAATATATTCTATTAATTAATATT